GATGGGGCAATAATTCAGTGGTACCTGACTAAAGAGGAGCAGAGTTCTCACTTTCCCTCCCTCAGTGAGCCCAGCTCATAAGGGATGAAATGTTCAGTATTAAGAATAAGCTTGCTTAGGTGGTTTGCAATCATTACACTGTGTTAGGGGGTTATTTCTGGTAATCCCACTCAAAGCATGCTTGCAGCAGCATAATAAAAATTGATATTGATTTGGTAATAATGAGACCTAGAGCGTGTGTGAGGCCTGAGCCATCCCAACTAGCTCATTTTGTGAAGAAACACCTCATTTGAGCATTATCACCATTAGATCCTGTCCGGAATTTTATTCAGAAGGAAAAGAAACACCTTCCTCACAGCGCTTCAAACCCCCCAGGTGCTACCAACACGAATTGTTTGATTACCACTCCTGCTCTTGGATCTTTCTGGAAAATGTATCCTTACAAAGGGATCCAATCCTTCTCTCTCTATCTTCCTTCTGTACACACACCAACCCACAGTAAGCTGTTAGAACCGTAGTGGGCTTGGGGTAAAATCCATCACATTTTCATCCCATGAGAGAACTAATGAAAGGAGGGGTGGCCAAGTACTTGAGCTGGGTATCGTTCCACATACTAAGAAAAGCAAACACTCATGCCAATAAATATAAAGCCTCACAACTTGAGAAAATAAAACCTTCTTGAACCTGAAGATCCAGCAATCACACATTTTTCCACCTCTAGGAACTAAATAGAAAAAGTCACAGAAATTGCATCACAACACTGTGGCTACTGCTTAAGGAAATAACAACAGAACTGTCCTTCGAAAAGTTAACTGTAGACCTGCCAACAGAGTGACCTACATTTGCCTGGTCAGAGCATCTGTGAGAGGGGGCAAAAGAAATACTTTCAGAAAGTAAATTCTGGTTTGACATTAAATGATGCACTCTTCCTTTCCATTGCTGAAAGGCCCAGAAATGCAGAGTGGCCCTATACAGGGTACAGAGCAGCACAGCAGACTTGCACGTCAGCTGCTGGCAGCACAATAAAAGCCCAGAGCTGCAGCCATGTGAGAAGTCAATGATTTCTGGATTATTTTCTCAGGGCAAATTTTTCCTCTCACTCTTCTTCCAAAGACACAAGAAATGCTTCAGGGAAGCCTTTTCCTTATTAACATGCTTCTTTAACTTGCACTATTTATGCAAGAATGCTTTAGTTATTTCATTATTCTGGTGATAATTCTGGTTTTTTTCTTTCTGCTCCTATGACCCCAGAAACAAAGTACATATCATGCTCACACAAGAGCACACTGAGGTTTCCTGCTCTGCCACCAAAGCCTAAGTGAAGCAAAAGTGAAGGTGGCAGCTGGAAACATCCTACAGTCAACACATTGGTGAGGAATTGTGGTTCTGTCTTGCCATCACCAAAATAGAGAATTAGAAATGCAAATTTAAGTAGTACTAGAACCTAGTTCATGAATACTTCCTTTCAACATGTGCTTTCTCTCTTAAAGCATCTTATCTTTCTGTGTGCCCTTATTACTTTTCTGTATGTGCCTCTCAATACAGAAGTCTAAATGCTTGAATATTTTTCCCTATCTCCTCTTTCCTGTTCGTCCTTGGTGTGTGTGCTTCATGCACTTGAGCTAGGTGAAAAATAACAAACCAAGTCTGTGCCACGGGGAACTCAGCTCTTCAAAGCTGGGGAGGGCTCCCTGCCTCTGCAGTGGACAACCAGTGATTGTAATTAACACATTTGAATTTCAGTAGTTTTCAATTACTGCACTGAGTACAGGGGAGCACTGAATTTTTTTAAACCAGGCTTCTAATTGTAGGTACCTCAAATCTCACTCCCCCTGAACTTCTCATGCAGTCCTGGTTTCTAGTGCCTAACTAAAGTAAGCTTCAAAAGCTGAAAATGTGAATACCCTCTTCAAAGACAAGGTATAGCAAATTTTATGACAGACAAGTTCTATTTTGGATTTTGCTAAAAAACCCCTAATCAGTTCCTTGTCAGCTGCCTGGAAGCAGGCAGAGAACACTTCCTCTTGCTGGTAAATGATACAAACACACTGGGCTGCTGTATAGGGCTGCTATTGCTGCTGAAAATCTTTGCCTTGGAAGCCCTCCAATTCCATTCTACCACATTATCAATGTGAGCTTATCTTAGTCACAGATGTCCATTCCTCTCTTATTGTTTTATGGAAGTGTTCTAAAATTCCAGCTTTTATATAAAGTCCAGTACAGTAAATAGAAATACCCCAGAAAGTTTCCACTGACTGTATAAATTGTGAAAACACAAGTGTTATTTAACAGCCTGACATGAATTTCCAATATCATCCTTTTAGTGAACACTAAACAGTTCTACAGTATAAAAATCATGTGTAGAGTAACTCACATTTTGAAATCCATTTTCCATCTACCTGATAGGAACAGTAATCTCCTTTGTAAAGAAAGTTTTCCTTGCTTTACAAAAGCCAGAGTAAAAACTATTAGGTTTGTCATTCACATGATTCCATTTTCAAATAACATTTTTTGTTCTCATTCTGTTTTTACAGTCATCACCAAGGAATCTGAAAGTTATGCAATACAACAGGCTTTAAAGCCACCAGGGACCTCCTAAAACAAGATGGAAATAACTTATTATGCAAGTAAGATTAAAACACTGACCTTGAATCCAGTCTTTTGCCAAGGGGCAGAGAGTGTGGGGGTGGAAAATCAACTGTGGTACAGAAGTTTGCACTGGGCTTAGGAAAGCACAAGAATTTTCAAAAGCAAACACCTCCATCATACAGGAAAGGGAGCATTTTAATATTTCATAAGGCAAGGCCTTTCTTAGGCAGTAACACAGTGTCAGTTCTGCACACAGTCAGTGCCATGCTCTGGCCAATGCTGCAGTGGCTGCTCCAAGCCCTCCCAGCCTGCAGAGGCCACAGGGCAGCAGGGACGGCAGCAGGGACAGCCCCGGGGATGGCAGCCCAGCAGAGGCAGGGGCTGTGCACAGCCAGCCGGGATTCCCTGGGACACACAGGTGCCAAGGGCCAGAGCACAGAGCCTTTGGATGGCTTTGTGCTGACAGGTCAGGGCCAGGCTCCCATGCCAGCAATAACCCAGCCATGCACCACAACCTGGGGCTGTCACACTGCACAGCCCAGAACAGAAGTGCATTATAGCCAATTAATAAGTAGGAAAACAGAAAAAAGGAAATATGACTTTTGCCTCAATGCACTCATGTTAACATTACTAATCCTGTCTCTGGCACTTGCTGAGCTCTGTGAGACCATCAGTGCTGCACTGACTTGGTATTCAGCAGGTCTGGGCTCTCATTGGCATGGGTTTGACAGAAACACAAAGCAGTGACAATGGAAATTGGCAACAGCAGAGAAGACCAACATCTGAACAGCTGGTCCCAATTTTTGAAACTCTTGCTTCACTGAGACAGGCAGGAGCTTTACAGGTTAATTCTAATTTCAAATATTCTTTTCTATGCACAGGCTTTCTTGCAGGGGTTGAGAATGTCTTTATCAGCAGCAACAGAGATGTACTGTTTTATTCCAGCCAGGCTGGAACACTGCCCCAAGGTAATAGTCTTTCTTATGCTGTTAAGGACAGCAAAATATCTTGAAAAATGGAATTACAATTGACTGCTTCACTAGGAATCTTAAAGATGCAGATGATATAAGAAAGGTTTCTTTGGTTATGTCTGCAGGGGGAAACTGGGGTGTTTTCTGTTTTGTTTGGGTGTATTTGTCAGCTACCCCAAAAATCTTCTCTTCATGCATCTCCCAGAAGAGACCTGAGAGGGGAAGAACCAGAGAGCTGCTGGAATACATATACAGAGGAAAGACAGAGAACAGACATTTAAGGAGTGCTCCATCCCAGGGGATCTCCATGCCTGTTCTGCTCAGTCTCCAGACTGGAAACACATCTATTTTCCTTTCACACATATGTAAAAGAACATCAGATAGACTGATATCTAAGTGGATAAAGAAGTGTTTCTCCAGAAACGGGGAAATTAATTGGAATTACTTATAACAGCACAGCTTTGCCCAGCCTTAAAGACTGTTACTGTGAAATTCATAAAAACATACACAGTGTTTAAAATATTCTATGTATTAAACAAACAGGAAATTTTGCTAAAAGGGAAAATTTCTAAAAGGTAGGAAGGCAGGATTTGCTAAAAGGTAGGAAGAAAAAAAGAAAAAAGAAAAAAAAAAGACAACAAAGACAAATACAAAACAAGAGTTTTGAGTAGAACTAAAGTCAACAGATGGTTGACCATCCTTTATGAAAAAAGTTAACTTTTTTCCAACCAATTAATATCAGACTGGCTGCTGAAGTTAAGAATACAATTAGAGAACACTTACTTGTTCTGATATTTAATGGAAATGTCAAATGAGAGTGCAGCAGAAAAGGCAAAACCTCTCAATAAATCACAACACAAGGGGAGATAATCTGAGTAATGACATCTGCCCTCGGATATCATGTATTAGTCAGGGGAGGGCCTCGAAGGCAGTAAGGCAGAGGGCAGTAACCACTGTAAAAGCCATTCTTGTCTCTGATAAGGTCCCTGTAGAGAAGCCCCTGTGTGAGAAGCCCTGGCACAGCCGTGCCCAGCCCGTAC